GAGCGGGGACACCTGGGTTCTCTCCCTGGCTCTGGGAGGGGAGTGGGGGCTGGTGGGTTAGAGCAGGCGGGGCTGGGAGCCAGGACTCCTGGGTGCGCGCCCTGGCTCTGGGAGGGGAGTGGGGGCTGGTGGGTTAGAGCAGGCGGGGCTGGGAGCGGGGACACCTGGGTTCTCTCCCTGGCTCTGGGAGGGGAGTGGGGGCTGGTGGGTTAGAGCAGGCGGGGCTGGGAGCCAGGACTCCTGGGTTCTCTCCCTGGCTCTGGGAGGGGAGTGGGGGCTGGTGGTTAGAGCAGGGGGTGCTGGGAGTCAGGACTCCTGGGTTCTCTCCCCAGCTGTGGGCTGCCCAATTGTATTTTTCAGTCACTCCCCCGTACCGCTGCCCACGCACCAGCCTCCCTTTGCCAGGTCGGTGGCCCCCTCGCCTGCCCTCACCCTTGGCGCGCAGCTCTGTCATGGCGCAGTACCAGGCCTCCTGCTGCTCTGGGCTCTCGGCCGCCACCCCGAAGGTGCCATCCCGGCCGTACAGCACGATGAGGTGCCGGTGCCGGGCGTCCGCCCGCTTGTTGATGTTCAGGGCACTGGCCAGGGGGAAGCTGCGTTTGGGGCGGGCGCCGCCAGCCCTGAATTTCTTCTCGCTCTCGTAGTACTCCAGGCGGGCCGGTCCCCGCTCGCTGGGCGCCCGCAGCACGAAAAACCGGCGCCGCTGGGACTTCTGCTTCCGCAGGTGCCCGCACAGACGGACGTCGGCCACGGGCGGGTCGCCCTCACCGGCCGCCTCCTCCATGGTGCGCCAACTCAGGGGAACAGGAGAGTTAAGGCATGCCCCCCCCGCCCTGTTTGCAACGCCACCACATCCGGCCTGCTTCGGGGGGCAGAGCTTTGGGGGTGCCTAGGGTTTGTCGCTACACCTGTCCTCTTTGGGGGGGGGCAATTCACACACACCCCCCTTTCGCAACTACCTCTTTCGGGGTACCGAGCTTCGGGGGTGCCCAGCGTTTCACGCCACCTCTGCGCCCGGATCATCTCCTTCCCAGGAGTTCATTCCTCTCCAGTTTTGCAACCTGCTGTCTTTCAAGGGCGCCTCCCCCAAGTTTTTGCAACAGCACCAGGACTCCCTTCCGGGGGGCAGAGGTTTAGTGCCTTCGCCCCCTGGATTGGGCCTGCCGGAGACCCAGGAGCATCGAAAGGAGGCGCCGTTGCAAACTCGCTTCTCTTGCGTCCCGCATGTGTCCAAAGCCTGTGCCGAGCGCCGGGCAGCCTGGCCCCGCTTCGCCGTGATTTCACGGCCGGTCAGTTTGCAGCCAAAGTCGCCTCGCCATGCCGGAGCCAATTTTGCACAAGCCACGGCAGCGTGCAAACAAGAGTCCCTTTGCAATCTCGAACGGCTGCAAAAAACCAATCTTCGCAGAGGTGCAGCCGCGCAGGCCCTCGCTGGCCAGCTGCAGCCTTGTTTGCACTAGGACACGAATTTCTTCTTTTGCAATCGGCTCCGGATTTGATTTTAATAGAAGTCACATGAAGAGAAGCGAAATAAATCAGCCGAGTTTTTTTTTTTCCATGCGGTTTTCTGGCGCAAAACTGGAAGCCAGCGAAGGGGAGGGGGGAGAACAGGACTTGGAAAAATAGGAGAAAGGAGCAACGTTGCTTTTTGCAGCCGAAAGATCGCTCCGCTCTCGGCCTGGTTTCGCCCGCAAAAGTTTGGATCGGCGCCTCGCCCCCGAACACGGAGGCCGCCTGGGATCTCCCGGTTGCAAACAGCAGCGCCAGGCGACCGCACGATTCTTAACACTTTTGCACAGAAGCGGGACGGGCGTCTCGCTTTCCACGCAAACGAGGCACGGAAAAAACTCGAGCGAGGGGCTTTCTCGGCACAAAGCCACGGGCCCGGTGGAGAAACCCCCACGAAAAGCTACTGTGCGGGGAGGCGGCTGGCGCTGGCCCCTGAGCCAGAGATTGATGTAGCAAGAAGGGGGGGGAAAGTTAACGCGGAGGGGGGGTTCTTGGAGGACTTGCAGAAAAGGCAAAGGGGGGGGACCCTTCACACAAGTGGATCCCCCCCGTGCAGAAGCAGGTGGAGCGGGCACAGAACCCGGGGGGGCCCCTCGGTGCGATCACCTCCCAGGTCAGGAGTGGGGGGGGGGGCGTGCGCTAACCCCCCCACGGGCGAGCCAGGCCGAGCTGCGAGCCCCGAGCGCGGCACAGTGCAAAGGGAGCAAATGCGCCCGAGGCTGCGGGTCTCTTCTCCGCCCGGCCCCGGCCCCGGCCCCGGCTCTCCCGGGCAGCCCGGCCCCCGCCCCCGCCGCTCCGGGCAAACACCCGCTGCCATGAGGCGGCTGCTGGACCTGATTGATGGCTCTGCAGGCGCGGGGGAGGGGGGGGATTTAAAGGGCCAGCAAAGGAGGGGGAGCTGCTGCCCACCCCCTCCCCCAACCCCTCGGGTCCTGCGTCTCCCTCACGAAGGGGGTAACCGGCCGCCCCGCCCCAGAGGTGGGCGCGTCTCAGCGCCGGGCGAGGGGTCTCCATGTAACCGGCTGCCCCACCCCAGAGGTGGGCGCATCTCAGCGCCGGGCGAGGGGTCCCTGGGGAACCGGCCGCCCTGCCCCAGACGTGGGCGCATCTCAGCGCCGGGCGAGGGGTCCTCGCGTAACCAGCCGCCCTGCCCCAGAGGTGGGCGTATCTCAGCGCCGGGCGAGGGGTCCTTGGGTAACCGGCCGCCCTGCCCCAGAGGTGGGCGCGTCTCAGCGCCGGGCGAGGGGTCCCTGTGTAACCGGCCGCCCCGCCCCAGAGGTGGGCGCGTCTCAGCACCGGGCGAGGGGTCCCTGGGTAACCGGCCGCCCT